AGGATGCCTGATGTAGCTTGCTGTATTTCCTCTAGAAAACTTGCAGAGTTGTGAATAGTAGTACCACCTAAAATAATTTTTATTCCATGGTTTTGTTTATTTAAATTATAGACAGTTAGACTTTCTTCATACGTTGTTCCTCCAATCATAAAAACAATGATATCTTGAGGCCTAAAAAGTAGTAGGTTTATAATTTTCTTTTCTGATTTCATTAAATATTTAATTTAATTAAATAATGTCTCATATAAAATTACCTTTTTGACATCAATGTATTTCCAAGATAAGGAAATGTTTGTAAACTTAGCTTTCCTTTTATTAAGTCTTCAAGTGTTTCATTTAGTAAAGGTGTATGTTGGGTATAAATATTATCCACTCCATTTAAACCTTTGAATAATTTTTTCGTAATTTTGACTACTGATTCTCGATCAAATAAATTACTTTGTCTTGCATTAATTCCACTATATTCTAGTATGTTATATACAAGCTAAAATAGTATTTTAAAGTTATTAATTTATATGTTTGTATTAAACTCGTAAATGAAATTATATTAAATTCAATATACCTTAATATGTCTTTCTGAAACACCCCTAAGTTTTAATAAATTTAACAAACCATTAATATCATTGTTGGTATGTTTTTCATAATGAAGTGCATAAAGCATGACTAATTTTACACAATCCATTTCTTGTACTTGTTGACTGTTAATAAGTTCTCTTATTTTTTGCAGCTATAACAAAAATGTAATTCACTTTTGTGTTATAATTATTAGGATATAGTTATGTAAGTAACTAATAACACATTAATTTTATTATACCTGCATGGAATGGTCACTTTGACAACTAAGTTCTTGTTCCAATTCTGATACTTTTAATAAATTACGTTTTCCCACAATTGAAGATAGATCTTCAAGTAATGTTACATGTTTTGCTACAGCTCCTGACAGTTTCTTAAATAATGGATAAGTTTCTACAAAATTTTTCATATCAGCTATACTTTCTAGTTTTTGATGTTTCTTAGCTTTTCTTTGAAATTCATCCATCAATTCCTTTATTGTTTGTCCAATTTCACCAAAGTTAAGATACAAATTCTATTCAAACATATTTTTATTGAAAAAATTAAAAATTGGAAATGGTACGACATAATCAATAAAAATAGTAATAATAATGACATATATGTTCTTACATTTGCAAAAAATTCATCATGTTCTGCACTAAGAACGACTTCTTGTAATTCTTTTGAAATACCTTTCACGTGTGATAAATTGACACGATTGTTAGTAATAGTTAATAATTCATGAACCATTGCTTGGTAAGTCCACTGATGCAATAATGGTGTAACAGGATCATCTCTTCTGTCAAGTACTAGCAAAATTGGACTAGAATCTTGTCTAAATTCGAATGAATTTGATTCTTTATTCAATACTTCACGTACTCTTTCTGCCAATCGTTTTGCCATGTCAGAACTACTTTGATAACGTATATAAGGACATCTTTTAAGCGATAATAACACCGAAATTATGCCTAAAACGGTCCTATGTAGTTGAACTGGATTCCATAACAAACCTTAATAGAAAAATAAAAATTTTATTGCTTCATACAATATTTTGTTGCTTATTAATTATTTTTATTTTAATTACTGCATATTATGAAGTATTATACTTATGAAATTCATAAAAAGTGCATTACCTTGTGAACATGTAGAAATTCCAAGCGAAAATAAGTGTGGGCTTATAGCTAAATAATCTGCATAATATTCATGAATCTCTCTCACTACTTCTTGTTCATCACTTTCAGCCAAAAGTTTGATATCAGCCTTTGCAATAATATTACTGAAATCTAAATAATATCACGATTAATTGAATAGTTAATCGAAATACTATTATCAACATATCACAGTTTAATAATATTTATTTATAGTAAATTATGTTTATGCAAAATACATAAAAATTGTGTACAAATAATATTGAGTAACTCTATGTTCAACCTGTGATATCTCTATCATTAATACCATATCTCATCACACATCACGTCACACACATCATGTTTACACTTGTTACGGTTCCGTACAAAATTCTCTTTTTTACGCTTTCATAATTATTCATCGACTGGAATGCGATTTAATAACGCAAAGCATCGTGAGAAATCTCTAATCGATCACAGACTCAGCCTTTTATACACAAAAAAAATTAATCCTTTTTTTTAGGCACCGCGGATAATTGTTAATATAACGCATTCTTTCTTTGGAACCAACGTGGTCCAATAACAGAGTAATTCAGATATGCAACAAGTTGTGTCGCTCCTCGGAGCCCTTAAATATAAACCGGGTGCTCAGTATGCGTTTAAAAAGTGTGAAGTACCGTATGAAAAAATTTCCCATTAAACACATATATTAGGTCAATGGATTCGAAATATTGCACATGCACAGTGTCGGTCAACGAATTGAAAATCATTGTAATATTTTAATTATATATTTTTTATTTTATTTTTATATTTATTAATGTACAATTATTATAGCAATGCCTAATATTTAATGGTTTACAATTTTTTAAACAAATCCTTGACTCTATTTTAACATAATTGAATAACATATATAGCAATTAAAAGATTATTATGATTACTTACAAATGTAGTAGGTACCATATTTAGGGTATCGTAATTCGTTGCAGAGGTATTCAATATTTTCTTTGGTTGGTCTTATAAAAACTATACATTTTAAATGCTTTAAACCTTCACTACGAACATTTGAATCAATTTTTTCAAATAAATAAACTTCTTTCATGAATATTTCCGATTGACTGTATACCGAACTTACTATACTTATCTGAAAACATACAAATTTTCGAAAATTAACACTCACACATACATATTTGATTATACTGTTTATGAAATGAGAAAGAAAAAAAAGTTAATTCCATCCCTTATCCCATTAGAGTTACAGGATCAGAATTCTAGGTAACAGCAAATGCATATCTAAGAAAATTTCTCTTCAACTTAAAGTTAACAGTAATTAAATATAACCTTGTATACGCACTCATTGTTATCACTAATTACTATAGCATCCTTCATCACTCTTTCTCTTTGAGATACATGCACAACACGTACACATAATTCGTTAAGCCTCAAATACTCTTTATTCCCACCCCAACAATTTAAAAATCGTTTATCGTTACAATTATTGGTTATTCTTTTGAAAGAGAATGTGAATAAATATGCAAAGCAAATATATACATATAATACGTAAAGATAATGCGTTTAAAGTCCGTTACCTTATTCCAATCTTGACCAATATTTGTACGAGCAAATTCTCTTCTACTTTCTTTATGCCGAAGTAAAACTCGTGGAGCCTTCGCTAAATTTTGTCTTTTTGTCTTTCTTGTTTATTCAGATAACTCTTCCATGTGGCATTATGAACAGAAAAAATTCTTTTGTATTTATGATGCATTAACTAAAACAAGACTGACAAAACCCCACAAAAATTTAAAACGGGGAACCCCACGGCTCAGTTCTCAGTATCGCGTTCGTTCTAATAGGGATCAACGATATCGCAAGAGAATTAGTGTTCCCAGTCAAAGCCCGTTTATTCGCAAACGACCACACACTCTCACGCAACGGAAAAAATCTAGACACCATAACAGAACTTTTAGAAAAATCTATAAATAATCTCCAGAAATGGTCTAACAAATCTATGTCTAATGGTCTAAAAAAACGTATCCATTAGAACATACCAAAACTTTATATGAGTAACACTGAAATAAAATTCGTAGAGAGTATCAAACTTCTTGGACTCATCCTTGACAAAACATTTCAGAGACCTTCATTGGCTCATAGCTCGTAGCTAGTTTGGGTTTTGCTGCCTTTACAATGTAGTAAGCAGAATGAGCTAGTTTTAATCTTTTCACGGAATATTTTATATTTGAAAAATATCCCTAAAAATGTCTTCAAATTATGAAGAAATAGATGCAGATCTATTATCAGATATAGATCAATAATATCGATAGTGACAGCGATAATGAATCGTCAGATAATGGAAGTGATATTGTGGTGAGAAGATTTAGAAATGTACAAAGATCGATAATTAGTGATTCCGACGATGATCCGTTAACGTATTCCGTTAGCGGATGTCATAAACCGTATGTGCTAGACAAAATCACACAAGAGACTGTACTAAAACTCCCAACACCCCTGCTAAATGTTTTAACTGACAGGGGAAAACATCTTGCAAATTATAGCCAATGTCTGGCACTCTTAGCCTATCTGGCCAAAAAATTAACACAGCAATCAACACTCTAAAAAATGCACAAACCATCAAATATATCTCACCCACAGCCTGTACATAAATCAAAACCTACACACAAATAACTTCTCAAAAATCAACAACATCCAAACAACTGCTCTCAAACAATTCAGAGAATATCAACAACATATTTGAATCTATAACACAAATTAAGACACTATACAACCTAAAAACTTAACTTAATAGTGTTTAATTTTTAAAATTACATTAACATTTCTTTCTTTTTAATTTTAGTAAAGTCTTATTATTGTCTGAATACTTTTGTCACTTATAATTTTGTTTTTTATTGAAAAATATATTTGTCTTCACAGTTCATTAATTCTACTAAAATGACTTGTTTTATACTCTCCACTATAATTAGTTGATTACTTAATGTAACATCAATGGTATCCCTAATACAAGTATCACAGCAAAAACACATTTGCCTGGAAACATTTGTTATACAGTATTGTATATGTATATATAAATTATGGAAAAATACTATTTTCAATAAGGTAATATTTACAGACGTTTTTTATGACTCTTTTAAGTATTATTATGGAAAGAGAAAAAAAATGAAAAGCATTACTTAAAAATGATTTTAACCCTTCCATAGTGGAATATGGGGCAAAGTAAAGTAAGTTGTAATGTGGGAAACGGTCACAATATATCTGACATGTCCCAAATTATATGATATTTAATGTAATTATCAACATTTATCATGTATAAAACAGTTAAAACTATAAATTCCTATATTTAGAAGTGACAATGTAATTACTTTATATGATAAGATACAAATTTTTAAGTTTTTTTCTTTTATAGTCTTCGTCAGTTTATTATAAGTTAAATGTAGCAAAGGGTTAATCATGATAAAGACAGTAATATAAAACACTCATTATTATTAATTTATAAAATTAAGAAAAACAATAATGAAGTGCTGATATTTAAAGGTGATAA